TATTTCCAATCTCAATCAGAATCTCAGCAGGCTTTTTTTCCCCTTTCAAATGATGTCAAACATACTCTAAACTCTAGAAATAAGTTATTCTAACTTATTCATAAATTTGTACGTAAAGTAAAAAAGACTCATAGAATAACTCAGGAAGAAAAGAAGTTGGAGGAATTACACTATCTGATTTCATGACTTAACTAATATAAAGCTCTATTCAGACAGTAGTATATGCAGCATTGATACATAGATGACATATATATCATTGAAAAAAATAGTCCAGAAATAGACATACACATATGTGTTCAACTGATTTTTAAGCAGACATTTTCTAGGAAGAGGTGATCTTTCCAAAAAATATTCTGGAACATTTGGATATCTATATGCAAATAAATGAACCCCAACTCTTACCTCCTACCATATACAAAAACAACTTGGAATTGGTAAGACCTAAATATAGAAGCTGGAACTATAAAAATTCGGAAGGAAAACAGGAGAAAATCTTAGAGACTGATTTTGGTACAAATTTCTTAAATACAGAATGATGATCACAAACTGAAAAAATTTATTCAGACTTTATTAAAATAAAAACTCTTGCTCTTCAAAGTATACTATTAAGAAAATGAAAAGGCAAACCACAAACTTGGAGAAAATATTTATGAAACATATATCCAACAAGGGACTTGTTTCTAGAATAATAATAGTTAAAATGAATTTTTGCAGCTCAAATAAGACTTACAACCCAATTAAAAAATGGACAAAAGATGTGAACAGACACTTCACCAAAGAACATATATATATATGATGGCAAATATGCACATACAGTGATACTTATTAATCTTGAGTGAAATGCAAATTAAAACCACAGTGAGCATACACCACCTCTAAAATGGCTAAAATTAAAGAGTTTTATTAATTAAACTAAGTTTTTGGCAGGATCCTAGAAAGAACTGAAAATGATACACTGATAGTGGGAATGTTAAAAAGGTACCACTTTGGAAGATGATTTGGCAGTATCTTAAAGTTAACACATGTACCTCCCATACAATTCAGACATCCCACTTCTATGTCAGGTGGAAATACATGTCTCCGTATGAGTACTCATAGCCTTACTTGTAGTAATGCAAAATGAGAAATGACTTTTTCCATAAGGAACTATTTGGTCTTTTTCTTTTCTTCCTCAAGCACTTTTGTTTCTGTTTCCATTACAGCTCCTATCTTACCATAATGTCTTGTCTTTCTTTTCTTCTGCTATTGCAGAGGAGGACTGCTTTAGTTCTGCCCTTCTCAGTGCAGCAGAATGGGTGCTAGGAGGGCTGGATTCTTTTCTTAGCTCTTGACACTGTGGGCTGACCAATTGCCTTCTTGGGGTGTCCATGTTCTTAATTACTGATCAAAGGGATTAAATTACATGTATTCATTCATGAATATTTTTGAGCACCTGTCATGTCCCAGGTACTCTTTTAAGTATTAGCAACTCAATAAAGAAAGTAGGCTGTGTTCTCTGCCCTCATGTAACCTGTATTCATTAACCTATTATATGCCAGCCACTGTCTTAGGTTTGGGGAAGACAGGCTTTATTGTCTTAATCTCAAGAAATTTATGAATTATTAGGGAAAAAGACCAAAATAAGTAAACAGACAAAACTAAAATTGTAAAAATTATTCTGAGGTAAACAATATGAAAGGGGACCCGTCTTTTAGCTGGGCTGTCAGGGAAGGCCTCTGTGGTGGTGACACCCAAGCGGAGATCTAGAAGACAAAGAGAAAAGGGGCTCGGTCCTATCTCTTCTCCCAGAAGTGTAGATTGAACATAACACAATGGTCTGATTCCTTCGATTTTAGACATCTGTAAATGATAATGGTTTTGTGGAGTAGCTATTCTTTACTTCACCCCTTCAGGGGGCTTTCATTGTCTTTTTCAGGAAATATAAATGTCATTTAGTTTATTGCCATTTATATGGCAAATAAGGAGATTTAATTCTCCTTTTTGAAGTTTAATTAATACACCTTTGGCCCATACTTCATAAGTGAATGGGAAACCAAAAGGATAAAATGAAGCTTCTGTACTCTGGTAGGCCAAATGTGGCTTGAACAGGAGAATCAGACTTGGAAGCTTATTGGCCTGTAGTGATTTAAAAGTCAGAAAAATTTCACCTAAATCCCCAGCCTTTGAGCGTTTCCACTTAAATCTTTAGGCAGCCAATTAGAACTGAATGGCAGCAGCCATCTCTGATAAAATATGTCCACCGATGTTTGTTGGCATCAATTCAGCACCAATAGGAATCCACTGTTTGGGTATGGTGAAGAAGGAAATTATTCAGTGCAGACAGCTCCATTGTGATACAACAGGGCTGTGAGAACAGCATGGCTGTGGAACAGCTCAATAGTGTTATAGCTCAATTATGAAGCAGCACAGCTGTGAGGTGGTGCTCAGGAGATGCAGCTCTTCTCTGTTCCCGTGTGCTCCACTTGCTCCTGTTCACTCTGCTCTGCCCTGTGCCATGCTGTGCCCTCCTGCTCTGTGCTGGTCTACTCCAGTCTGCCTGCTCTGCTGTGCTCTGTTGTGGTCTGGCTAGACATCTTTGGTGTTTTCATCTTTGGTGTTTAGTCTCTGGTGTTTTAGCTCCAGCCAAGGAAATGCAGTATTTAGTCTTCGGTGGAAAGGGAAAAGGTTTACACAGACAGAAGTTGCCACCCCTGGTCCCTGATTGGTTGATCTTTGTGCAAATAAGGAGTCCAAATTCTCACAGTTTTATTCAAAAGGCACTGTCCTGACTGGTCAAAATGGAGCTGCTCTGATTGATTGGTGGAGATGCTGTGTAGCTCTGACTGGATGGGGAAAGCCTCAGTCCTTTTGGTTAAAATACAACTTCAAGAACTTTGTAAGGGCTGGCTCAGATGGCAGGAACACAGTGTAGACAGGTAGTTGTGGGAAGCAGGCAGTTGGAAGCAGGTGGTTCAATGCAGGCTTCTCCCTGAAGTGCAGTTTGTGTGAGAGTCCCCTGTATAGAAATGGCTGCTAGGCTCTGCTTTTAAATTTGAGACCAGTTAGCTACCAGGAGCCCTTCTTTGTAGGTATGTTCTTATTGCAGGCTCCACAGGTGCATGCTGTCACCTCTCACGGCCACCTTCTGCTTCACTCACTGATGTCGTCTAGCTGGCCTCGTGTAAATTAGTTTGTCTAAGAATCATCTCAGGAAATTTTTATTTTATATTTAAACATTTGTTCTTGGAACCAGCCTGCTGGAAGTCTGATCTACCAGTGCTGGGCTGGGTTATTCTAATGTGCATCAGGAGAGAATCACACTCTTAAGACATAATCCTGGCTGTGAGCATACCTTTGTTACAGGATTTATACAGGAGTGTGGGCTTCCAAGAGTGGGGACTTGTTTTGGTAACTTCTTATTGACCTTGTCATTAAAATATCTGGTAGTAGATACTTTAAATACTTATAATATAAATGAATATATTGTATTTTAATTTCAGTATGTGTTTGACCTCTGAAAAGAAAATGTACTTAAAAAACATATTTCTAAATTCAGATGTATGGGTTTTTAAAGTTTTCTTTAATAGATAACACATTCATGTGGTTTTAAGATAAAAATATAAAAGGGACTTTACAGTGTAAAGTCTCCTTCCCAGTTCCATTCTCTGTCTGACCAGTACAGCATGCTCCCTCCCATAAAAGTATAAGAGCAAATTTTTATTTTTATTTTTCTTTCTTTTCAAAAGTTAGCTTAGTAAAAATAATGCTAAACCCTATGCCTTCTTTGCTCTCAACATATCTCGAAGATCTTATCATATTAACAGAGAGCTTCTTCCTCCTTTTTTAGTTGTTTTGGTTTTACAGTTGAAAAATGTTTCATTGTTTGGGCATATTACATTGTTTATTTAACAAGTATCCCCACTGAAGACATGTGGATTTTCCTAAGCACTTATTATTTTAAACAATGCTAAAGTTAGTACATTTCTATGTATGTCATTTCACACACACACGCATACACACACAGAAGAATGTGCAGTCTATATGATAAATTCTCCAAGTGGAATTGATGCACGTGTTATTTTAATGTCTATTACCAAATTGCCCTCTGTAGGGATTATAGCATCAGATGTTGTTAAAACTAATCTTGATATTTGGAACACTTCTAAAAAAATATTTACTGTGGTTTTGTTTTCTTTGTCAAGTTAGGTTATCTGAATTTTGGTAAGAGTAATGGATTGTTCTAGATCAGGGGTGTCAAATTCATTTTCACTGGTGGCCTCATCAGCCTCCAGGTTGCCTTTAAAGGGCCAAATGTAACTTTAAGACTGTATAAATGTAACTACTCCATTACAGTTAAGTGAGAGCTTGGTGCTGCCGCCGGGTAGAAACAAGGTGCAGGGCCGAATTAAACAAGGTGGAGGGCTGGGTTTGGCCTGCAGGCCTTTTGTTTGCCACCTGTGCTGTAGATCACTGGTTTTCACTACTAGCCAAAGACTCTCAAGGGGTTCCCAGATTTGTATGCTAAATGAACATCAGCTAGACAGAAAATAATATCTCACACATGTGTACTATATATTTCAAATGTACTCAATTGTATTTAAGTACACTTAAATTACATATTTAATTTACTTGTAAAAGTAAATATTTACTTGTAAATGTTCTGAATATTTACATATTTAAGTTACGTATATAATTTATTTGTAAATTACACTTAATTTACAAGTAAATTAAATATAATTTCAAATTGTATTTAATAAAATGCCAATTCATTTAATAGTGTTACTGAACTAAGAAGTTCAGCTAGTAACAGCTCAGCATCTAATCATTGTTTAGATGATTTAGTGGTTCCATTGTTTTAGATTACCTGGGACTTTGCTGGCACGTCAGGTTCATTTTGTGGCCCATCAGGTTTTTCAAAATAGCTTAGACTGGAGGCATAGGAGAACAGAAGCAAAAGACTATGCATATACTCTGAGTGTCTATTTGAGTATTTTGTAATAAAAGTAATCTTTTTCTTACAGATGTTCCTTTAAGGACCAGCCTGCCACCACCATTCAGAAATTATAAATATGGTAACAAATTTTTCTTATTCTTTTAAAATACATATTAATGTAAAGTTACATTAGTTTTGTCTTGATTTGAATTTAAATTTGGCTTTCAAAAATGAATTTATTATCTGTAAATAAAAACCAATATGGAAGTTTATTTAGAAATACAGGGAGTCTAGTAGTGTGTTGTTAAGGTAAATTGTAATCATGTGGGGAAGTCGCCTATTTGTGAGGAATAGCATGTTTGGCAAACTGTGTCAAAAAATGAATTTCTTTGCCAGGTAATCAAAAAAAGAGAAATGACTAAAGACTAGGAATTAAAAGATTTTTAAAAAGAGAGAGATTTAAGATTTTAAATGCCAGTAACTTTGAGCATGTTATATAGCAATTTTTATGTTGCAATTGTTGATTTTAAAATGTAGTAATAAGGCAGTAAGCTGGATTTCACTATTTGTTACAAAGATGGTACAATTAATTATTAACCTTCAGCACACTGATACTCCCCAAACTTTGAGACTTCTCTTGAGAATTATGATATACCTAATAAATATTTCTGCTAATTGGTGCAGACGTTTTAAAGTATAAATATTTTATTGCCTTAGATCAGTTTTTGGAATAGCTTTTAATTCTGTTCCCTTTTGGTAGAGCAACTTATGACCTAAAATTCTTTGAAATCACAGTCTTCCCTGTGCATATGCATTTTAATAACCAGAGACTAATTGTGAGGTCGTAAAGGATAGTCAAGAAGAGGTTGAAGGCACTGAGTGGAAAGTGCTTTGATTTATTGGACTTAAAGAATTTACATACTAAATATTGAGTAAGAGAAAGGAATAAAAAGCATGATTAAGTAAATATAAAATTTCTCAATTCTGGCTTTGATGGCATAATGCCTTAAGCTTTAATCAATCTACAGATGCCATTTCATTAGAATAATTATATATGGCTTCCATTTTTGTATGGTCTATATGTATATCCAAACTTGTGTTTCATGTGAATTCTTTTGACAAATAAGTTTTAGATAATGAAAGTATCAGAACATCTGACTATTAATCATTATGCTGGATGATGTACCTTTTACCTTATTAACATCCTGTCCTGGTATTCCTATACTATTAAGAGAAATTGGCAGAAAAAAATGAATACATTTATCTTGAAGAAATTAGAGAAGAGTTTTAGGGTTTAGACAGACTTCTAGTGATTCTGTCTAAGCTTGACTCTTCAGCAGTCTGCTGCTTTGTGTTCAATAAGAAAGGCCGAAGTGTTGTTTTCTTGCCTGTCATTGTCCTCCAGTACTGCTACATGCCCAGTGGGAGTAGAACATTTTGGGTGGTAGAGAGTGGAAAGGGTACAGAGGCGAATTTTGGTTTGTCAGTTGCTCTCTCCATGCCCTTGGATGAAGGGCTGGCTATAGAGAGTCTGAGATTTCTCAGAGCCCTTCATTTATTCATAAATGTCTTCCTCTCATTTAACTAGTATCTACATCTATTACTGATTTACTTTGACTAGACTGTGTGTTCCTACAGATAAGGGATTTTATTTTATTTTTAAATCCTTGTTGCCTAGACATGTCAGTTGTACAGTGTGGGGCTGCTAATCCTATTTGTTTTATAAGGCTGTATGAGATTAAACAGTGCACATGCAAACATGTTAAATACTCCACAAATATAAAATACTATTTTTATTTTCATTAAGTTACTTTCCTTAAAGGGTTTGCATTAAGGAAACAATACCCACAGATATTGTTTCTGTTAATAATGAAGATTTTGAAGAAGTAAAAACAAGTGAAAGAGTTTTTAACAAAGAAAGGGACACTAATACAACATGTTTTGCTAGCTTGTCATTTCTCCTTTCTTACCCTGATTCCAAGTCTTACCAATTTCTGTTAGAGAGAAAAATCTGGTGAAAATTTCTGTTAAAGCATTTATTTTCTGGGACTTCCAGCCAAGATGGAGACATAGGTAGACACACTGTGCCTCCTCGTACAACCAAGATAGGGATGACAACAACAATTTAGAAACAGAATAACAACCAGAAGTGACAGAAAATTGAACTGTAAGGAAGTCAGATAACCAAGAAGTTAAAATAGACATGTTCATCCAGACCAGTAGGAGGGGCAGAGTCGGGCAGCCAGGCGGAGAGGGGTCGCGTGGCACAAAGAGCATTGGGACCAGGCGCATAAGACCGCAGCAGGCAGACCCTGGGCGCACAAGTGGCAACTGGCAGACCCAGCGAGGCGGCAATTGTGAAGCAAGGCACTGCGTGCAACCCAGGATCCCAGTGCTGTGAAATAGAGCCTTGGGGCACTGATTGAAAACACCTGTGGGGGTTGAGGCACAGGGAGAAACTCCTGGCCTCACAGGTGAGGTCGTTGGAAAGACCCACAGGGTACACAAGCCCACCCACACAGGAATCAGCACCAGAAAGGTCCAGTTTGTTTGGGGGAAGCAGTGGAAGGGACTGAAATGGGCAGAGAGCACAGCAAGTGCCATTGTTCCCTCTCGGACCCATCCCCACATACAGCATCACAACCCAGTGACTGGGCTGACATGGCCTGGTGAACACCTAAGGCTCCGCCCCTCATACATAACAGGCGTGACCAGACCAAAAAAAAAAAAAGATGGCTCAAACAGAAGAACAAATGAAAGCCCCAAAACCGATCCTTTTAAGCGACTGAGAGATAGCCAACCTATCAGATGCACAGTTCAAAACACTGGTGATCAGGATGTTCACAGAATTGGTTGTTTTTGGTCACAAATTAGATGAAAAAATGAAGGCTACAATAAGTGAAATGAAGAAAAATACACAGGGAACCAATAGTGATGGAAAGAAAGCTGGATCTCACATCAATGGAGTAGACCAGAAGGAAGGAAGAAACAACCACATAGAAAATGAAGAAATAAGAATTCAAAAAAATGAGGAAAGGCTTAGAAACCTCTGGGACATCTTGAAACCTTCCAACATCCGAATTATAGGGATACCAGAAGGAGAAGAAGAAGAAGAACAAGTGGAAAATTTATTTGAACAAATAATAAAGGAGAACTTCCCCAGTCTGGCAAAGGAAATAGACTTCCAGGGAGTCCAGGAAGCTCAGAGAAGTCCAAAGAAGGTAGACCCAAAAAGGAACACACCAAGGCACATCATCATTACATTATCCAAGGTAAAAATGAAGGAGAGAATCCTAGAAGCAGCAAGAGACAAGGAGACAGTAACCTACAAAGGAGTTCCCATAAGACTATCAGCTGATTTCTCAAAAGAGACCTTACAGGCAAGAAGGGGCTGGAAAGAAGTATTTCAAGTCATGAAAGGCAAGGACCTACATCCAAGATATCTCTATCCAGCAAAGCTTTTATTTAGAATAGAAGGGCACATAAAGTGCTTCTCAGATAAGGTCAAGTTAAAGGAGTTCATCATCACCAAGCCCTTATTTTATGAAATGTTAAAGGGATTTATCTAAGAAAAAGAAGATAAACGTGTAGTAAAATGACAGCAAACTCACAATTATTAATAACCACACCTAAAACAAAAACAAAGAAACTGAGCAAACAAATAGAACTGGAACAGAACCACATAAATGGAGGGCACATGGAGGGTTAGCGACAGGGGAGTGGGAGGAGGAGAGAAGGGGAAAAGGTACAGAGAACAAGTAATATAGATAGTAGGTAGAAAATAGACAGGGGGTGGGTAAGAATAGTATGGGAAATGTAGAAGCTAATGAACTTATAAATATGACACATGGACATGTACTAAAGTGGGGGAATGTGGGTGGGAGGTGGTGTGCACGGTGGAGGGGAGTGAAGGGGGAAAATGGGACAACTGTAATAACATAATCAATAAAATATATTTTAAATAAATAAGTGAATGAATGAAAAATTAAACAAAAAAGAAATATGGCCTAAATGAAAGACCATATCAAAACTCCAGATAAGGAAGTAAACAAAATGGAGATTAGCAATCTATAAGATGCAGAGTTCAAAACGCTGTTCATAGGGATGTTCAAGGAGCTCAGGACCACAACAGCATAAAAAAGATCCCGTCAGAAATGAAGGATACACTGACTGAAATAAAGAACAATTTAGAGGGAAACAACAGTACAGTGGATGAAGCTGAGAAGCAAATCAATGATTTGGAATATAAGGACACAAAAGACAACCAATCAGAACAACAAGAAGAAACAAGAACCCCCCCAAAAAGACAGTATAAACAGCCTGTGGAACAACTTACAGTGATCCATATCCATATCATTGGGTGCCAGAAGCATTAGAGAAAGAGCAAGAAATTAAAAATCTGTTTGAAAAAATAATGGAAGAGAACTTCCCTAATTTGGTGAAGGAAATAGACATGCAAGTGCAAAAAGCACAGAGAATCCCAAACAAGATGGATGCAAAGAGGCCCACTGCAAGACACATCATAATTAAAATGCTAAAGGTTAAAGATATAAATAGAGAATATTAAAAGCAGCAAGAGAAAGAAGTTAATTACCTACAGGGGAGTTCCCATAAGACTGCCAGCTCATTTCCCAAAAGAAAATGTTCTGTCTAGAAGGAATTGGCAAGAAGTATTCAAAGTGATGAAAAGCAGGGACCTACAGCCAAGATTGCTGTACGCAACAAAGCTATCATTTAGAGTCAGAGAGCAGATAAAGAGTTTCCCGGACAAGAAAAAGTTGAAGGAATTTGTCATCACCAAACCATTATTATATGAAATGTCAAAGGAACTTGTTGAAGAAAAAGAAGAGGATCAAAACTATGAACAATAAAAACATTTATCAACAATTGAATCTAAAAAACAAACCAAACAAACAAGAAGAACAGACCCAGAACCATGGATCCTGAGAGCGTTTTGATGGTTGCCAGATGGGAGGGGAGTGTGGAGAATGGGTGAAGAGGTAAGGGGATTAAGAAGTACAAATTGGTAGTTACAGAATACCCATGGGGATGTCAAGTACAGTATAGGAAATGGAATAGTCAACTTATACATGTGACCCATGGATATGAACAATGGTGTGGGGTTTGCTTGAGGGAGTAAGGGGTGCTGGGTGGAGGAGGAAAATTGGGGTAACTGTAATAACATAATTAATAAAATAATTTTTTAAAAAAAGAAAGAACTTAAAACTGATTATTATAGAAATATGAAGGATTATAAGAAAATACTGTGAACAATTATATGCCAACAAATTGGACAACCTGGGTGAAATGGATAAATTCCTAGAAACACACAATCTTCCAAAACTGAATCAGGAAGAATCAGAAAACCCGAATAGACCAGTTACAACTAATGAAATTGAAGCAGTAATCCAAAACTCCTAGCAAACAAAAGGCCTTGACTGAATGGCTTCACAGGTTAATTTTATTTAACATTCAAGGAAGAACTAATGCCTATCCTTCTCAAACTATTCCAAGAAATTCAAGAGAAGACTAAGCTCATTTCATAAGGCCAGCATTATCCTAATTTCATAATCAGGTATAGACACTACAAAGAAAGAAAACTATAGGCCAATATCCCTGGTAAACATAGATGCTAAATCATCAACAAAATATTAGCAAACTGGATCCAGCAGTACATACACCATGATCAATTGGGATTTATTCCTGGGTTGAAAAGTTAGTACAATATTAGCAAATCAGTAAACATGATGCATCATATAAACAAAATGAAGGATAAAAATCACATGATCATATCGATCATTTCACAAAAAGCACTTAATAAAATCCAGCACTCATTTATGATAAAAACCCTCAGTAACATGGGAATAGAAGGATCATACCTCAACATTATAAAGGCCATATATGACAGACCCACAGCCAACATCATACTCGATGGGCAATAACTAAAAACATTTTCCTTAAGATTAGGAACAAGATGATGTTTGCTTTTACCACTCTTATTTAACATAGAACTGGAAGTTCTAGGCATGACATTGAAACAAGATGAAATAAGAGGCATCCAAATTGGAAAGGAGGAAGTAAAACTGTCATCATTTGCAGACTACATGATAATGTGTACAGGAAACCCTAACATTTCAGGATATAAAATTAACATTCAGAAATCAGTGCCATTTCTATAGACCAATAATGAACTATCAGAGAATTAAGAAAACAATCCCATTTATTATTGCAACAAAAAACAAGGTACCCATGAATACATTTAACAAAGGAGTTAAGAGATCAGTACTAGGAAAATTATAAGACACTGAAGGAAAAAACTGAAGCAGATAAAAATAAATGGAAGCATATACTGTGTTTATGGAGAGGAAAAATTAACATCATTAAAATATCCATACTGTCCTAAACAATCTACAGACTCAACAGAATTCCTATTAAAATACCAAATGCATACCTGACAGATCTAGAACAAATATTCCAAAAATTTATATGGAGCCGCAAAAGACCCTGAATAGTCTCAGAAGTCTTGAGAAAGAAGAACAAAGTTGGAGATGTCACACTACCTGATATCAAACTATACTACAAGGCCGTAGTAATCAAAACAGCCTCGTACTGGCAGAAGAACAGGAATAAAGATCAATGGACCAGATTAGACAGCAAAGAAATAAACTCATGTCTTTATGGTCAATTAATATTTAACAAAGGAGACAAGAACATACAGTGGGATAAAGACAGCCTTTTCAATAAATGATATTGGGAAGATTGGACAGATACATGCAAAAACAAACAAACAAACTAGAACACCAATTTATACCATACACAAGAATAAACTCAAAATGGATAAAATACTTAAGTGTAAGTTGCAAAACCATAAAATCCTAGATGAAAACATAGGCTGTAAAATTTCAGACATTTCTTATAGTAGTATTTTTGCAGATATATCTCCTCTGGCAAGAGAAGCAAAGGAAAAAAGTAAACAAATAGGACTACGTCAAACTAAAAAGTTTTTGCACAGCAAAAGACACCATCAATGAAATGAAAAGGGAACCCACTGTATTGGAGAATATATTTGCCAGTGATACATCTGATAAGGGGTTAATTTCTAAAATATATAAATAACTTGTACTACTCAACACCAAAAAGATAAAAAGCCAGTTAAACAATGGGCAAAGGACCTGAATAGACATTGCTCCAAAGAGGACATACACATGACCAATAGACATAGGAAAAGATGTTCAAGGTCACTAATCATCAGATAAATATAAATTAAAACCACAATGAAATATTACCTCATACCTGTCAGAATGGCCCTCATTAACAAACAAAAAGTTCAGGCAAAATGTAAAGAAAAGGGAACCCTATTCTATTGGTTCCCTTTGAAGTATTATTGGCGAGAGTGCAGACTGGTGCAGCCACTGTGGAAAACAGTATGGAGTTTCCTCAAAAAAAATTTAAAAAGTAACTGCCTTTTGACCCAGCAGTCACACTTCTGGGAATATACCTGAAGAGACCTAAAACACTAATTCAAAAGAATATGTGCACCCCTATGTTCATAGTAGCGTTATTCAAAATAGCCAAGATCTGGAAAGAGCCCAAGTGTCCATCAATATAGGAGTGGATAAAAAAGCAGTGGTACACATATACACAGAGATATAACATAGACACACACAACAATGTGGTGATATCCTGAAGGAAAGACAACGGAGGAGTAGGTGGAGATAGGCAAAGTGGGGTTGGGGGAAATGGGATGGAAAGAGACTTCATTTAGGGTGGTGGACACATGAGGCAGTCTGCAGATGATGTTTGGTTGGGTTGTACACTTGAAACCTGAAAGATTTTGTGTACCAATGTCACCCCACTAAATTCATTAAATGGTGTAAGCCTGCGAAATAGTAAAAAACCAGGAGGCTGATATTGGTATTCTTTGTGCATTAGCAGCTTTTTCAGATTACCAGTTATCTTTGATAGTGTTTGAATTCTTGGAATGGTAACAACTCCTCAGAGTGATCATTTGACCCACACACCTCCCCCCACCTTCTGTCACTATATCTATTCTGAGAGATTAGTAGATATTTTGGAACTGTTTTTGTTGTCTGTTTTAATTTAAGACAATATTTTTACATTGTTTGCTATTATTAGCATTTAGCGACTTCAAAAATCAGGATAGAATAATGTGGTTCACTTTTCTTCTAAGGGAAATGTGCATAGTTGACTTCAGGTTATGGCACACACACAGTTGTGTGTGTCAGAGAACATGGCTTTAAAATATCTTTATATAGTGATTTTTAATTTTAATCATATGCAAATTAATTTTTCTTTTACTATATACTTGATTTTTAAAAGAAGCTGGTCATAAGTTAAGGATTTAATTTCTCAACTTCATAGGCACCTTTCTCTCATACCACTTTAAAAATTTGAAATGAAGTTTTAAAATAATCTTTGTAAAAAGACAAATTGTTTTTTTCTTTCAGATAAATTAAAGATTATTCATCAAGCACATAAATCAAAGGTATGTTTCATGTGTGCTATCTGGCACATAGCACATAATGTTGGTTGACTTAGTGAATAAATGAATACATTTACTTCTAAAATATTTTCATCATCATAACATTTTTTATTTCGTAAAGACCCTTTCTGCAGCTTTACTTTTTCATTAAAGAAAATTCTAAGTCATAACCCTCTTTATTAGATCCTTTAAAAAGTGTTAATTTTTTAAAAAAGGATACATGTAATATATCAAGCAAATAAGTAGCATAAAAATAAGCTTAAAACTTTGTAAATTCTGATGACATATAAAAGAAGCCACTTACCTGGCAGTCTCTTTCACTTTCTTAATCCTATACCCAAAGAAAGGAGCCAAAAGCAAATAAAACTAATCTGCTTTTTCTGACTTGACTCGCATGTTGTGTAAGAGAAGGCCCAGGACTGTGGCTCTGGGGAGCAAACCTTCTAGCTCCACAGAGGGCGTGGCCTGCAATCCTAACAAATGTTGTCTTACCTGTCCCAAAGAGAACTGTTTATTTCTGTGTGTATTATATGTTTACATTTCTGTTTCATTACTTTTTCAGAGTAATTGTTTTATGAAGTCACAACCAAAGGTTTGCCTCTTACACAGGCAGACTAGAGTGATCCTTTTTCTTGATTGTCAATGACCCTTACATTCACTCCTAATTATAGTAGTAATCTTACTCTTATACAAACTACTCAAGGACAGGGGAGCAGGTCTTATTCTTCCTAGCACCAACACTTAGTACAGTGCCTCATTCATAGGAATGTTTACATAACAACTTTTGAATGAAGCATTTACTTATGAATTCACTTAATGTCATTCCCTTCTCTGATCATAGATACCCTCCATAAGTTCAGTCAGCTTTCAAATAAATATATACCAGAGATTGTAAAGAAAATAGCATTAGGGTATGTATGTTGACTATGAATTTGTAACTTAAAAAAATATTCTTTTTCCTGTAATTTGAAACCACACATTTATTCTCTTAGAGTTCGGGAGGCCAGAAGTCTGAAATCATGAAATCAGTTTCACTGAGCTAAAATCAAGGTATTAGCATGGCTGGTCCTTTCTAATAACTTTATGTTTATACACACACATACACACACACACACACACACACACACACACACACCAAGAACTGCATATTTTAACAGTATCCATTGTCAGATGTTTTAAAATTTAATGCTCACATATGTGTAGGGCTGTGGTTTGGAATCTGTATTTTGTATGGATGTTAGAACTTCTCTCCACTGTACCTGGCCACAGACTCCAGCCATTTTCTCTTCTCCAGGTCAGGAATGTTTACAGCCTCATCTCTAAACTGTGGAGAATAGGAAGCTTGGTTTTATTGTACAGGGTGTGTGTGTGTGTGTATAGTTAAAACTAAACAATATGCTCTTTGAAGAGGCCCTCCTCTTCAAGGTTCAAGCAGGGTACCTAATGACCATCATCTCATCTAAAATGTGCCCTGCAAGTAATCTAGAATTTTTAAAAATAAATGATGTTAACTGTACCATAACAAACTTACCAACATAAGCTAACAACAATGAGCCAAGTGTCACAAAACGAAAGAAAGAGAGAGAAAGAAAGAGAAAAGAAAAAGAAAAGAAGAAATGGTTGTAGAGTATGTCATGCTATTCTCCATTTTTACTTCATTAGGCTTGCTCATTTGCTCATGTTTCTTAAATTGATAATTAATAAATTGTTTCTTTATCCTAATGAAGACCTAGTTTAGTATATTCAAATAATCAATATTATGACATTTGCTTAAAAACCAGGAAATTTTCTTCCTGTAGTTGGAAATATATTAGAGTTGTTTCATATATGTAAATGTGTTTTATCCTGGCATGTTGGAGTTATACAATTAGGGCTTATTTTTCCAGTTGAACAATGTATTTATTTAAAGAGGGATTCTCAAAGCAAATTAAGTTACTTAGACTGTGTCTGGAATCAGAATTTATAAACTTTTATCCAAATTATAACAAATTTAGTTAAGTAGACACCTGGGGATGATTCTTCAAGTTTCCTCTTCAAGTTCCATTAAGAAAGGGGTTAATATATTTTTACAAACCATTTTAAAACTTTAGAGTAACTTCTTCCACATGTCCTCATCTGTGCCTTAGCCAGCTCCCAGATCTTTGTCACATCACCCATCTTTCATTCCCCACCTGCAGGACCTTAAGCATCTCTGAATCCAGCCTATCAGCTTTCCAACCCAGCTTTAATTTTAGTCTCCTTCTTCAGCCAAAGGAAAGGGCTTCCAAATAACTCCTATATCTTAATGAATTTGTTCACAAAGGTAATTTTCTTCATTCCCCTAACTTTCTAAGTTTAGAATAAGTTTCTTTTTTTTAACATTTTATTTATTTATTAACAGGGAAAGGGAGGGAGAAAGAGGGAAAGAAATATCAATGCCTGGTTGCCTCTCGTGCGCCCCCCACTGGGGACATGGCCCGCAATCCAGGCACGTGCCCTAACTGGGAATCGAACCGGTGATCCTTTGGTTCACAGGCCAGCACTCAATCCACTGAGCCACACCAGCCAGGGCTAGAATAACTTTCTTAATTACAGTTACCAGGTATGTAGAGAAATTTCTTCCCATCACTACAGTAAAAAGGCTGTCCCACCAGAACCTTCCATTTGGACTGTGAGCTCAGTGTTGAGTGAATAAATCAATACAGTGCAAATAATTATCATAATATTATTTATGGTTATCAAGAAAATGTATTTGTATATTATGGATTGTAATCAGTAGGCTATTTGTCAAGTCAGAATAATACCTGTTAAAAAAGATATAAAATAAAAACTCTAATTTCTATCTTATATTTTGTGAGTTTAAAAACCAGGTAGTTATACTTATTAAAAGTTTATGAAGGGAAGAACCCTGAAATAACTATGTGAAATGTGCAAGATCTTTAAGAAGAAAACTTTGAGATGCCAGTAAGGGTATTTTGTTGTCCAGACTCATTGAACTGAACACCTGAAGATATGTACATTTTATTTATGTGAAATTCTACCTCAACTTAATTTTATTTAAAAAGTACATTTGAAGAGGGGTCCAAAATAAGACTTAAATAGAAATGTTTAGGATATTTTGGGGGTGAAGATGCAGCATGAAGCTATTAGGTCTTTATTCATTTATAATTTAATGCCACCCCAACAAAATCCTAACAACAGTTTCATATATATAAATATTCATATATACATAAATATATGAATATATATGAAACTGATTATAAAACTAATATGCAAAATATAAATAATGAAGAATAGTCAGGAAAATGAGAGACATGAGTGGCTATAGCATAAATTAGACATATTATAAAACTATAATAATAGTTTTATTATAAACTATAGTTTAATAATAAACTATAATTAAAACAGTGTGGTACTGTCACATGAACTGTTAGTTCCATAGCATAAAATTGAAAGTCCAACAATGGACCCAAATATATATGGGAAATTAGTTTAGAGTAAATATGGCATTTCAAGTCTATGGAGGATTTAATAAATGTTATTGGGACAACTGTGTAGACATCTAGAAAATGGTTAAGTTTAATCCAAATCCTTTTCTTTATACTAAAATAAATACCCATTGGATTAATGGTTTAAATGGATAATGAAACCCATACATGCAGACAGAGATGAAACAGATGGAACATGAGTGAATGACTTGTTCCAGCTGGATGATGGGTGCATGGAGGGTTCATCATACTATTCTCTACATTGTATGTTTGAAATTTCTCATAATTAAAAATTTAAAGAATGAAATTAATTAAAATACTTGAAGAAAACATGATATTTTAAAAGTAATCTTTGAGTGAAGGTCTTTCTAAGTATGATAGAAAACCCAAAAACCTAAGAGTAATTTTATTTCACTAATTATTTATTCAAAAAACATTCAGCACTTCTATTTAAAAATGCTATAGAAAAATCAAAGAACAAAGGAAAACTGAGGGAAAGTTTTCTAACTTGTAGAAAAGGCCTAATTTTTTTAGTATATACTGGTACTAAATATAATATGTATATTTAGTATATAATGATATTCTATAATCCTACTTAAAAATTATCCTACAAGTTAATTAAAAAGCAGAAAATATTCAAACTTTACCCATAATAAATACAAATTAAGACTACATTTAATTTATATCCATTAAGTTGGCAAAGATCAGAAGGTTTTGATAATACAATGTGTCAATAAAGGTGTGGTAGTGTTAATATAAATTGGTACCAATTCTCTGGAGAGTAACTTTACATATTAAAGTTTGTCAAAATAAAATTTTTCAAAATGAAAGTTGCCAGTACTCTCTGACCCAACATTTCTACTTCTAGAATTTATCTACAGATCAAATGTGTACATACATGCACAGGGATATTTGTTGCAGGTTTGTTTGTGGTAACAAGAGATTGGTAACCTAAATGCCATCATCAGTGGGGACTCTGTGTGTGTGTTTGTGTATCCCTTCAATGGAATGTGCTGCAGTCTTGATAAATTATGAGGCAGCTCTTACACTGATTTTGAAAGGTTTTAAGCTATATTTTAGGGGGAAAAGTAAAGTGTGAGAACATAGCATGTGATATGCTAGTATTTGCTTGAGGACACTTACATGCACATCTGTGCCTACATGTACACATACAAGACAGTCTCTGTGTGGCACACAGAAATTAGTACCAGTTCTATGGAAAAGCACCACGGAGCTGGTGGATAGGGGTTGAGAGGAGACTTACTTTCACTCTCTATCCATATATACTTAGAGAATTTTATATCGTGAGAATGTACTACCTATTCTAAAATGACTTTTTAATAAAGTTTTTTTCCTTCTTTTGATCTGTGTTTTCTGGAGGTCAAGCCCCTGTGCTCTTTTCGTGAGGGAGGTTGTGACCTCTGGAGCATGGCTCCTAGATTTCCTGTGGCTGCTGAGAGGCCTTCTGTCGATGCTGCCTCTCAGCCACTTTCTAGAAATAGAATAGTTGCTGCACAGCTGCATTCTGTGCATTGATACTGTGTGTGCAACTAGTGGTCTCCTCTGTATGCTTTTTAGGAGCAGATGTCAACTCAAAATTTTCTCCTATATCTACAACTTTAAACTGGATTTGTAAATATTATTGGAGACCAGATTTATCCACCACCACCCCAAATCACATAGAGAAATGTGACAGTTAATATGACTTGGGATCAAGTGTTTATTAGCTAAGGCAAGGTTTTTAGACATGTGGGCTTTTGGCCATCAAGGTAAACTTGTTTCTCTCAGAAGTCAGACTCGTCAGAGCTCAGACCTCAGACCTTGGTTCCATGGCTGACCAGCCATGTACTCTTGGCCTGTTTCTCAGCCTATCTGATTTGTCCTGGAATATTGTGAGAGTGAGATGATGATGATGGTGATGATGTTGATGATGATACTGTGAGAATGAGATGATGATGTTGTGAGAATGAGATGGTGATGGTGATGATGATGATGGTGGTGGTGACAGGAGCGGCAACAAGAAAACACTTAAGAGCTAACAGAGTTCCTTTTTTTAAATATAGTTTATTGATTATGCTGTTATAGTTGTCCCATTTTTTTCTCTCCTTTATTCCCCTCCACCCTGCACCCCGTCCCCAGCATTCCCCTCCTCCCCTTAGTTCATGTCCATGGGTCATATATATAAATTCTTTGGCTTCTCCATTTCCCATACTATTCTTAACCTCCTCCTGTCTATTTTGTATCTACCATTTATTCTTCTTATTCCCTGCACCTTTTTCCTCATTCTCCTCCTCCACCTCCCCACTGATAACCATCCATGTGATCTCCATTTCTGTGATCCTATTCCTGTTCCAGTTGTTTTCTTAGTTTGTTTTTATTTATTTTTTTGGTTCAATTGTTGATAGTTTTGTGTTTGTTGTCATTTTACTGTTCATAGTTTTGATCCTCTTCTTTTTCTAAGATAAATCCCTTTAACATTTCATAGCATAAGGGCTTGGTGATGCTGAACTCCTTTAACTTGACCTTATCTGGGAAGCACTTTATCTGCCCTTCCATTCTAAATGAAACCTTTGCTAGTTAGATTAAACTTGAATGTATGTCCTTGTCTTTCATGACTTGGAATACTTCTTTCCAGCCCCTTCTTGGCTGCAAGGTCTCTTTTGAGAAATCAGCTGATAGTCTTATGGGAGCTCCTTTGTAGATAACTGTCTCCTTTTCTCTTGCTGCTTTTAAGATTCTCTCCTTATCTTTCATCTTTGGTAATGTAATTATGATGTTCCTTGGTGTGTTCCTCCTTGGGACCAACTCCTTTGGGACTCTAAGCTTCCTGGACTTCCTGGAAATCTATTTCCTTTGCCAGATTGGGGAAGTTCTCCTTCATTATTTTTTCAAATAAGTTTTCAGTTTCTTGCTCTTCCTCTTCTCCTTCTGGCACCCCTATGATTTGGATGTTGAAATGTTTAAAGTTGTCCTGGAGGTTCCTAAACCTCTCCTCATTTTTTTTTTGAATTCTTGTTTTTTCATTCTGTTCTGGTTGAATGTTTATTTCTGCCTTCTGCTCCAAATGTTGATTTGAGCCCCAGTTTCCTTCTCTTCACTGTTGGTTCCCTATGCATTTTCCTTTATTTCACTTTTCATAGCCTTCACTTTTTCCTTTATTTTGTATTTGTGCTCAGTCATTTCTGTGAGCATCCTGATTACCAGTGTTTTGTTTTGTTTTAAGATTTTATTTATTTTTAGAGAGGGGATGGTAGGGAGAACAAGAGAGAGAGAAACATCAATGTGTGGTTGCCTCTTGCATGCCTCATACTGAGGCCCTGGTCCACAACCCAGGCATGTGCCCTGACTGGGAATCGAACCACAACCCTTTCGTTCTCAGCCCAGCACTCAACCTACTGAGACACACCAGCCAGGGCCTGATTACCAGTGTTTCGAAGTGTGCATCTGATGGGTTGGCTCTCTCTTCATCATTTAGTTTTATTTTTTTTCTGTGGTTTTGACCTGTTTTTTCATTTGGGCAATATTTCCTTGTCTTGGTGCGCCTGTCATGTTGTAAGGGGCGGAGCCTTAGGTATTCACCAGAGTGGGGCATACCACTTGCAGCATTGTGGTACTGTATGTTGGAAAGGGGTCCGAAAGGGAACAGTACCACTGCTTGGCTCTTGGCTGGCTTTCAATCACTTCCCCCACTTCCCACAAACAAATTGGTATGCTCTGGTCCTTCTGGTGCTGATTCCTGGGTATGTGGGCTTGTGTACATTCTAGGACCCTGTGGGTCTCTCCAATGAACTCTCCTGTGAGGCTGGGAGTTTCTCCTACCACTGCAACCCCCACAGATTTTCACACCCAGAGGTTTTGAGGCTCTATTTCCCCATGCTGGAACCCTGGGTTTCAAGGTCTGTCTTGCTGTCCAGTTGTTCCTCCTGGTTTATCTGCATGCAAATGTGGGACTGCCCTGTCTGCCAGCTGCTGCCTCAGCACTGAACCTCTTCACCCCAGCTGCCCATCTCTGCCCCTCCTACGAGTCTGGATGAATGTTTCTCCTTTAATTCTTTGGTTGTCAGACAGCCAAATTCTTTGGCTTCCATACAGTTCGGTTTTCTGGCAGTAGTGGTTTTTGTTTTTAAATTTGTTGTTTTCCTTCTTTTGGTTGTGCGAGGAGGCAAAGTATATCTACTTTCACCTCCATCTTGGCCAGACATTCCCAGAGTTCTTGCTGTGTGACTGATACTTCATCTCATTTCATCCTTACCACAAAGCAATAGAGAAGATGTATTCTTCTCCCCCTCTTTTACAGATGAGGAAACTGAGTCTAAGAGAGGCTATGTAGTTTGTTGAGAACATACATCTGGACATTGGTGGAACCTGAATTTTAACCCAGGATGAGCTCCAAAGCCGTGTGCTACAGTGCTGTCTCCCTAGTACTTTCCACAGTGTGTGCGCTTTGTAGATACTCACTATCTGTTCACTTCTCTTCTTACAATGGTGGAAGTAGAATATAGCTTGATTATTGCTATGACCTAAAGTAACAATTCTGTGTCTTTGAGAAATCTTACCAAGTATGAAGCACATAGAAGTACTGATAAAGTGAAGATTTTCTTTCTTTCTAGACAAATGAAATTGTGATGAGTTTGGAAGATGATGACAGACTCCTGTTGAAAGAAGACAGTACTCTGAAAGCAGCTGGAATCGGTGAGAACAAGTACTGTGCAATGCCTGCAAGGTGCTGGGCTATGTGGGATCGCCTGCCCGATTAGATCTAGATAACTCATCATAAAGTAAATGCTATCCTTGGTGCCCTTTACACTCCTCTGATAGTTATTCAGAGGAGGAGGACAAGAATGATGTACATTCAGACCATTTGACTGAGGAAAGTGGTTATCTGTTTTCTAAATGTTACGAATGCAGATAGTTCTTTTCAGAATGTATGCTCAGAATTCTGCTGTGGGTTATTTTAAGTAATTGACGGGTTATTACTCAATAACCTGCTTACTCTTAACAGCATCATTTGAACTGATGGTATGAGAGGCCCGGTAGAACTGATGTGGAATGATGAAGTGAGATGTTGTTTGTGGACGATGCAGCATGGTTTCTGATAGTTGTCCGAGTCACTCAGGGCCAACCAAGTCATGGAGTTTCAAATAGGAGCCTAGTGTGGGAAGTTGAAAAATGGACTGTTTTAGCATTTCACCCTGGAAAAGGCATGTAGTTCTAGTTTAAAGAAATACTGTGTTACATATTTTGTGACCATTAGAGGTCACTCTAATTCTACTGATATGTACACCTAAAGATTGTCTAGCCATAGGAGTGAAGATTTTAAAAGAGGTGTGAGTGGGTGAAGGCATTGTGCCTCTGACAGCTTTGTGGTCATTGACTCTAAAGAAACAGCATGAGTCACACTTCATAATTATTTACATGCACTGGTTAAGGAGCACTCTTAATGAGGTCCATGTGAGGAAGACTTTTTTTTTTACAGATGTTGAGTTATTTTAGTCACAGATGTCAGGAATTCACTTTTGAGTGATACATGTGGCTAAAGTGAGTTCCTGATGCATCTTACAATTTAAATAGGATTTTAAATAGCATGTTATGAAATCTTAGACTTGTTTTTTATGTCTACAGTATTTCCTAGATTAGTGTCTTTCTCTGTTATGAATACACAAGAATGACCATATTATTATATATAAGGTTGATTGCTATTATTTGAGAAAACAATTTTCACTTTAGCATTTATTTCTTCAAATGCTATTGTTATTATAGCAGGTGGCACCTGTATTATCAAGGCAGATGGCCCCTAAGAGCATAAAGCTGTAAAGAATATAGCAGACTAGTATTGATGTAGTAATTGACAGATCTGTGGAGAAGACTGGAAAATTAAAAAACAAACTAAAGTAAGATTTTACAGTTTGATCAATTTTTGGCAACTCACATAAGTGGGGAAAGAATAAATTAGCCAGAATATGATGTTGGGCTCATTGTCAAAGCGTTTGGGAAAATAAAATTAAAAATTTTTATCTCAGTCTTTATTCCAAAATAAATTCTAGATGGATTAAGTGTTATAATGTGAAGTTAAAAAATGTAGTCCAATAATTTTATAATCTTGGGGAGCGGAAGAGCTCTCTACATATAACCATGAAGTCAGAACCATGAAGTGGGGAGAAGTGAAAGATTTGACCACATTTAAAAATAATATGAACAGAGTCAAAGGAGAAGGAATAAACTATGACAAAGTATTTGCACCGTAATGATTCTGTTGTATGTAGTGTGCTGTAGTATACCAGTCTAGTGGTTAAGAATTAGAGCCTGGATCCAGAGTACTTGTGTTCACCACCTGATCTGCCACTTACTATCTGAGTGACCTTGGACCAGTGATAATTATGACTTGCAGACATGAAGAATGTGGTAATGTTGGGAAATGGATACTCTTCCAAATTACTGTTTGGAAGTGTGCATTACCTGTAATTTTCTGTTGGTCAGTTTGACCAATAAGACTGCCTAAAACTTAAAGTGCTGTCTTGTCTATTACCAAACCAACAGAACCTGCTTCCCCAAGCTCTGTGACTCCTGTGAGGTGGTAATGTATCTTCAGAGAGGTGACAGTGTCTTCTCTCATCTTACCTGTGTATGAATCACTGATGTACAACTTTATTTATTGACTGGAAATAGAATACATTGTGTGATACCTTTATTGTTTAAAAATGTATATATTGACAGGTCTGTAAGTGTATATGGAAAAAAGATAATTTGCCAACATTATAGAAATGGTTTCTCTGGGAGGTGAAATTGCTAAACATTGATTTTTTTCTTTCTTAAGAAAAAAATTCTTATGTTACTTAATTGTTCTTATAAATTAAATTTTGTATAGCTTACATATAAATTAAATATATTACTTGTAAAGAATAAAGTCCTAAAGTTGGAGAAAATTGATTTCAGTGAAGGCTCTGCATTTTACTTGCTTTGTAACCTCTCTGTAAGCCATTCAACCTCTCTGAACTTAGATTTCTGTGAAACAAAACAGAAATAATTAATCCTACTTGAGAGGGTTGTCTGAGGGATGAGTAGAAGAATCAAAGCATCTGGAGGAATGCGTGTAAAGGCCCTCAAACATACTTTATTTAAAAACCTTTTTGGAAAAGGCAATTGGCAAATGTTTGAATAAATTAAAATATTGAGTTGTTGCTTTGTCATTAATTTCAAATTTATGTACTTGACCACTCGTAAAGGTGAGAATCAAATCCATCTTTTTTTGTCTTTCTTGTTCCCAGGCAATAGGCCTTTGATCAGAATCAGACCCCTTTCATGAATTCTCCACTAGTTGCAGGGCAGTACAAGAGCTTCCACTGCCCTCCTGCCTGGCAGGCCTGCAGCCCTGGTGGGGGCAACTTCAGTCAGTGCCCAGACAATTCTCTCTTCTGCTCAGTCCTCTCTGTCGCCTAGAGCAGGGTCAGTGTGCTCCAGAGAGCAAGCCACCTCTATGCAGGGGAAGGAGGTCCCTGGGGAGCTACAGGAAATTCTAAGTGGCAGTAGAGTTGTAAAGATCCTTGAATTGTGTGATTTTTCCCAGGGAATTTGCCCTCCCTTGGTGCCGTGTCTGGTTGGGATTTAAGAGGTTTGAGAGAAAAATTCCAGTTCATCACTCTCTCCTTTTTTACCACTTGATCTTGCTGTGGAGCTGTCACTCTGCTATCACTGCCAGTTGCCTTGGGAATAATGCCAATGTAACAAATTTATCATTATGACTTTTCTACAGAATTCATGAAAGGAAAAAGAAAGACTGTGAGGGGGAAAGTTTGGGGAACAAACTTGTTTGAAGATTTCTTTTATCACAGAGAAATTCTCCAGTTCCTACTCTGGCCTTTTATCTGCATTGCAGATCCCAATTGTATATTCTAGCTGACTATGGAGGAAGTTTTTGTTTGTGGACTTAGTGCTAAAATGCATAAGTAAAAAAATTTGCTTTGTGGAAGGAGGAAGAAGGCTTTGTAACAATTCTAAGTAACCTAAAATTGTTACTTAGAATTTAAAGAATTTTACCCTGTTTTTTAACAATTGTAATTTTATGGATTAATTCCCCTAAGCAATGAATTTGCCTGTAAGGTTTTTCTGGTGATATTTTATCTTTCACTTTGCTGTATTCAACAATTATTACATCTTTTGAATCCTCTCTGGTTTAGAAAAGAAATTGTGTCAGGAAAACTCTTCTAAAGCCGGTTGTGTTTTATTGGAAAATTTTAAAACAAGAGATAGTGGGCCATACCATAAGTGCTGATCTGGGGGAAGAGTTCATGTCAAGCCAGATCCTGTAATAATTCCAAAACTCCCTTGTGCTTTGGTTTCATTTTGTGTGTCACTGCTGTTGTCTGCCCACAGCCAGAGCCCTGCTTTGTGCCTGGCACCTTTGGTTGTCTCCTGCATACAGCAAACATTGTAGGTGCCTTGCGTCCCATATCTTTATCAGGATCATGTTCGATTTGTATTTCCAGCGTGTTAAGGTGGCTGTTCTTCACATCTGCATCGTAACAGCCATAGTCTGGGACTTGGTAAAGGAGGCACTAGGCCCAGGGATTGGGGATTGCAGAGCAGGGGCCATTGTGAGCTTCCCATAGATTATTCCTTGTTTTTAACCCTCCCCTCATCATTGTGGAAACCACAGGCATGGGTCCTGTCTGTCAAAGGTCAGATTTGTTTCACTATTTGTTTGCTGCAAACTGGAGTTTGAAATCTCTGTCAGCTGATTTAAAATGGGCACTTGGACCAAATATGAAACAAAAGCCACAGTCGTTGGGAACCTTGTTGCTAGATTGTTGACCTTTGGTGACAACTTATAAATGTAACTCAGCTGCCAGAACAGTTTTCAATGATTTGTAGATTAGGATTTTATGAAACTTGGAAGGATAGGATATATTCCTGGAGCAGGAGAGAGGGTGAACTTTGTTCTTTGGGTCTCGAATTGTTGCAGAAACCACACCCACCTCTTCCTGCATTTTTTTGTGTGTGTGCCAGTAATCTGCAGTTATTTTCACATTACAGCCTGCCCTGATCATTAGTGATCTGCACCACAAAGTCAGTGTAGATGTGTCTGTTTCTTCTCAGACAGCAGTGGCCGTGCCTCACGCTACTCTGGTGCTGACTAGTACGAGGCGTAGTCTTAGAAACTAGGCAGTGAAACTGTCACAGGTGGGCACAGGAAACCAGGTTCTTGGTGATCGAGGACAAAGAATTGAACCAAACACCCAGAGTTTATAGCATAAAGAAAGAGAGGAGGTTTATTAAGCGATAGTACACTCCACAGAACATGAGAGTGGGCCAACTTTGAGGAGAGATTGATCCCGTGGGCTGGAGGGATTCTATCCTTATAGGGTGGAAGCTTCCTGGCTAGTTTTTGGCAGGCTTCTATTGCGCATGTACAAGTAGTTGCCTGTCAAAGCTACTGCGCATGTGTGGTCTCCCATGATTTTCTTGATTGGCTACTGGAGAAGGAAGTCCCACAATGTTAATTCATTATAATGGTATTATAATGAATCAGGGGTTGTGTAGCATCTTCTGCACAGGAGCATTCTTGAGTCACCACGATTGAGCATTTTTCCAGAAAGCGGAAACAACCGGACTAGGGGGGGGTCTTTGTCATGTATGTATGTCCTTTATCTTAGCCCTGTGGCACCTCTGGAGCTTCCTCCTTCCTGACTATCTCCTGCCTCAAACCCTCGTCAGTTGACCAGTTTATTGAGGTGCTATTTGAGTTTTAAGTATATTGCATTTAATTTTCCTTGAGATTTTACATTTAAAACTGGTTTTTCATATATTATTTTATTTAAAGTCATTATTATTTCCTGTAAAGGTGTACGTGTATGTGTGTCTGACCAGTTTGGAAACATAAAATTGTTGATTTCATAGCCAAAGTTTGAAAGTTCTGCCTTGTGTTCATGCCATTAAACTTGAAAGTCAGAATTAAAATGATCCACAAGTGTATTTGGAGGGCTCTTACTTCATTTCATTTGATAGTAAGACAAAGGGATGAACTGGTAGTCTGTTTATTGGATTTTAGATTGTATGTTCATTTCATATTCACACGCTAAGGCACCGTGCACCCAAGTGCACTGCTGCCTGCAGCACTTTTAATTTAAAGTCAGGTGCCCTGGGGGACCAGCATACAGCAGACTTCCCGAGGATTCTTTCCCAGCCATTTTAAATAGAATTTGGGAAGCAAGAATTTAAGGGAAAATGGTAGAAAGGGTGATTATGTAGAATTTTGAAAGTCTTTTGTAGTTCATTTCTACTTTAATGGACAACTAAATTTACAGTATAAGTACATGAAATTATTCTCTAATTTTCAACAGAGTTTTACAGATTTTTAAAAACATTATATTCTATTTCTGTTTGAGGACCACATTTCTAAAGTTTAAAATCCTTTTTCTAATTTTGAAAATTCATAGTAACTTTTAATTTGTGTTGGTTTCCAATTTATTAAGGATGAAAACTTTTTATCAACCTGAAGCATTTGAATTTAATTCATTTATCAATCTAGTTTTCCTGAAAAAAAGAAAGCATTCATCTGAAAATAAAATGTTTATCTTAGATGATCTTATTTTGAGCCTGCATTATGAGAGATGGCATAAATACTTTATATGAATAATGGATTGATCTATAAGGTAATTAGACCCACGAGAACCTACTATCAAAACAAAAATGCTTTGTCTGTCCCTTCTTTATGTAGCTTATTCTGAACCTATTAGAACTGTACTACACAGTTGTATGATATATCAGTTTCTCAAAAGGGGTGCAGACAAATGTGAACTACAGTAAGTGAATGTAATTACAGTTAACATGTATTGACTGAAGTGCTGTGTGAGCAAAGCACTATGTAAAGTTCTGTATGTAAATAACGTCATAGATAAAACCTTGCACTGTGATGATTAAGAAGAGGGTACTTTTGCTCATTCTTCATTAGAAGGATGATTAGAATTACTTGCAAGTTATATAAATCTCCTTTTGGGTTTGCTTCCCTTCAAAAAGTAAACTTCAGGAGAGCTTTGTTATATAAAGGATAGATCTCAATATCTTACCTTTGAATATTGGATTTTTTGAAGCCTTTTTTCAACATTTTACTAATTCCAAGTGTGGAGCCTCTTACTCATTCTTTTAAATGCTTTTTTTTTTGGTACATTTTTTTGGGTACAATTTAACTAAATGTACCCCTCCCCATTGATTTCCAGTTTTTCTCTGCTGTGTCCTCTCCTATGCTCCCCAAGGCTCACTGTGATGAGAGTTTGCAATCTGATTTTCATCAAGATTGATCTTCATGTAGTGGACTAGACTCTGGGTGACTTTATTTTCTGCTTTCAACATTTCTGTAATGAGAATGGGTAACTTACAATTGAGATACATAAATTCGATATTCTTAAAACCAGCACAAACATTTTAAATAAAATATCATGCTGAGTCTTTTATTTTCTTCTCTTGTGGCAAATTCTAATAATGAGATGAGAGTTGTAAACAAGGTGTTAATCCTTGGCGTCCTTTCTTATTATCCTATTTATTTGGCTTAAAGAGTTTTACTTCTCTGATTTTAGAGGATATGTTAATTGAGTGATCAGTATTCATTACAAATAATCTTGTCTGTTTTATACATTCTGAAGGCCCTTTTGCTCTTTTTGTAAAAGCTAAGCAGACTGTATTAACTTCTGATTTAATTTAAAAAATGAATGTGGAACTTGTTGGCACAACACCTTAAAGAATTGCATGTTTAATAATTGGAAGGCTTTCCATCAGCTTTGTCTCCAGTCTGCATTAATAATGTTGCTGACTTATTGTTTTAGAAGACAGAGTCCTTGACCTGCTAGGTTGAAAGAATTGTGACTGCTCTGAACCTTTGTGGGTCCTTTAGCTGTGCCATATCCCCTGTGAATAATTAGAGGTATTTGAAGGTATTACGGTAGAAGCCAATTTGTGTCTTTCACTTTGCATATTGTTGAAGCTTTATGAATTAATCATAAGCAGGCAAAAAATTAACTTCTTCAGACACATTTTGATGGGTCATGAGGGAGAATGTAAAGTGATCTGTAAAATATTCTACTGATCCTCTGAGTATTAAATTATTATACCTACAGGCTAATTTCAGAGGAAAAAAGAGTTTTTCCTCCTCCTTCAGTAATTGAGTAGCAAATTTGAAAAAAAAACACAAAGGTTTGTTATTTTCTAGGACTCTTAAGAGGACTATATAAGTGAGCAAATTTACAGTTTCCTGAAAGTCAGATTCTTGAGTTAATTCTTGTTTTTAATTTTTTGTGTATTTTTCTTTTTATGTTAAATTATTTGCATTCTGGATTCTTATAAGTTCAATTTATACTTCTTGTTGATTTGGTGAAATGTGAAACCAAAGAAATAACTCATCTTTCTCATTTTAGGCATCTATAGCACTGAATCAAAGTAATGTGTGTTTCTATACTTGTTTAAAATCCAATTTCACATTAAAATTATTTTCCATTTTCTGTTTTCCTTTTTTTCAGCCAATGAAACTGAAATTGCATTCTTCTGTGAAGAAGATTATAAGAACTACAAAGCTAATCCCCTTTTATCCTGGTGAAAACCTCATGGGGGCTTCCTTTTTGCATACCTATATTAAGCTCTTTATTCCACTAGTGAGTTTTGAAATTGAGAAATAAACTTTAAAAATTAATCCCAGGCTCTGCTATTTGAGTTAAGAATCTGTGCTGTTTTCTCTCTGCAGGTCTCATTTTTCTTTCCTTTTTTTTTTAATTGTAAAATAATATATTTATTTGTCAGAAAAATTTTGGGTTTTTTATAGTGAAGAAATAGCTTTTTAAAAAATCATGAAATATTGGTCTTTAGTCATAATGTGTTTTTCTCAAATTAGGGGTTATTTTGGTGACCTGCATATTAGGTTCTTTAAAGAAGAGTATAAGACTAAAGTGATTTTGTTTATTTTTTATTTTTTCATAGTTTCTAATTAGAGCCACTGTTACTATCTTTGGCTAGGAGAAATTATAAATCTCTTATGCTTATCAGCGCCATCTTTTCGCTCATGGTGATACATACCACCATACATGAAATTTAATTGTGTATATTTTTAGGAAGATTTTCTTATGTAAGAGGATTTCTTCTTTTCTTTTAGTATTTCAGCCTACACAAATAACACTGCTGAATTTTTTTTTTAATCGAAGTTCTGTTTTCTGACTTATGAAGTAAACTATAATGGACTCAAACTAATTTGTTTGGAGAGAGAGAAAGCAACAGTATATTTGGACTTTATTGAGAACAAGTCTAAGTCATGGAAGACACATTCTTCCAAAATGATACTTTCAGTTCCTAAGAATGACTGCCTGCCAGCACCTGAAGAGTAGTGATCTAAAAGGGGCCTCTAAGCAGCACATATCTAAGCAGAAATCCTAGAGGGGTCGGTTGTCTCTAGAATTACTCACGAACCCTTCAGATTGTCATTAGGGAAAATTGGTTTCATGGTGGTAGAGGCTACCTTGAGAAAACCCATTTTTTTAAAAAAACTAAACTTTGAAAGTCTGATTAACATTATCAGAAAATACTTTCTTTGTTGAAAGATTTAATAGAGCCTATTTTAAAAAGATATTTTATTTATTTGGTGTTTCATTAATTAAACAAACTACTGGATGCACAAATGACCTAGGCTTCTAGGGAACTAATAAAGAATAAAGTAAGAGATGCAAGGTGGCAGCAGAGTAGGTAGAAGCTACATTCATTTCCTCCCAGAACCAAAATGGAATTACAACTAAAATATAGAACAGTCAACCTGAATAACCAACTGAAGACTAGCTGAAGAGATGTCTTATAACCAAGGATTTACAGAAGAAGCTATATCAAGACTGATAGAAAGTGAGATGTGAAAAGGTCTGGCCTTGCTCCCACAGGCAGCAGCTGAGGTTCCAGAGGGATATCTCAGCTGAGGAGGGTTTTCCCTGAGAAATGTGGAGTTTCAAGCCCAAGTTGACGTCCCCAGCACAACGCACCAGAACCTGGAAGAAGCATACACATAACATCTGGCTGTGAAAAGCAGTGGGGTTTCTGTACACCAGGGAGAGACAGGAATCTGCTAGAGACCCAAGTGCCCTCTTAAAGGGCCAGCACACAGAATTTCTTTTGCATCCATTCACCCTGGGCTCTGGTGGAGGGAGGATGGGGCAGACTAGAGGCATGTGAGGAGAGACTGGGTTTTGTGGCTCTCGGTAGAGAGTTGAGGGGAAAACCCTTGAGATCCCCTGTGCTGAGTCACTCTGCTGAGCCACACATGCCGTCTTTCTTGGGTGGATTATGCCCCTTTGTGCAACCTCAGCCTGGGGGAAAACAATTGCTTGACCCTCTGGTTTTCCTGTTAACCCATCTTGCAGAGCTTCTGCCCTGCTAAGGAGCCAATATTCTGGGCCAGGGTGTAGTATTTTGGGCAGACCCAAGGGTTGTTAGTGACTGAATTAGTGGCATAGGATCTGGGGCCATTCTCCTCCCTTTCTTGTGATCCTGACTGATACCTCCCCACCACAGTAGATCCACTAGCTCCACTCTCTAGTAGATCCACTAGCTCCAGCAGCCCCACTCCCTTGACTCTTGGTGGCTCCACCCTGTTGTGGTTTGGGCAGAATCTGGGACAGTCTGAGTTATGTGGCTCTGGGGCAGGAGCCCCATCCCCCAACTTTCCCTAGACCTGACTGGCATCTCTCCTCTTGACTCCCACTGGCCCCTCCCTGCTGAGATTGGGCTTCTGGCAGAATCTGAGACAGACTAAGTGGTGTGGCTCTAGAATGGGAAATTTTTCCCTTACACTCAACCAGTGCAGAGCCTTCCCTTCACATGGCCAAATCTTGATTTGTTTAGGCCCAGTAAACTCTGCTGGCCTCATCCTGACAAATCCCTGAGACTTGGCCCCACTCCAAAGGTATTCGAGCATGCAGCAGGTTGCAGCTTAACTTAATATACACTGGGACATTTACTAAATGTCCTCAGACCCAGCACTGGCACCATGATTGAACCTGTGTGGATCTGGAGAACACCTCTCTCTCTGACAACCTACCTTATGCAACTTAGAGTACTTCCAGAGGCTCGTTCAGTGACAGTCTAAGAGACAGCAGGCAGGTGGAGGCAGGTGGAGGTGGACTGCAGGGTTCCTAAGGACTTTTGCTGACCTGTCCCTGGGTCTAGTGCTGGTAAAAGTGAACCTTGGTCACTAGTGCTTGGTCATTCTCATGCACACCCAGGCCCAGCACAGGTACCCACAAACTATGGTTCACGGTGTAGCTCCAAACATGTTGCCCAGGGCCAGTAACAGGGAGTGTCTGATAGGGATCTGTACCAGATACCCATTCTAGAGGCCCCAGAACCAGCACACCCAATGGCCAGCTTCAGACAACATCAGAGCAGGATCCAGTTAGCTTCACAAGCAGCACATCCAAAGAGAGATCTTGGCAGGTACCACCCTGCTGAGGCAAATTCCATCCTGAGTGGTCAGCACCTACACAACAGCTCTTACACTGTGATCAGAGTTGATCTTCACAGTCAGCCAACCTGAGGGTTGACCCTACACACAAATGGGCCAATAGTAATCAAGTCTCAATTACAATGGGAGGGACCATATAACCCATACCAGGGACATCCCTGGAGCACCTAGCACAGGTCATCAGTGAGACAGTGCCACGAAGTTACATGGGACACCTACTACATCAGGCCACCCCACAAAGACTGGGAGTCACAGCAGATCTAATACATAGAAACAAACACAGAGAGGCAGCCACAATGGGGGGACAAACATGGTCCAGGCCTGGCTGGTGTGGCTCACTTGGTTGGGTGTCATCCTGCAAAATGAAAGGTCATGGGTTCAATTCCTGCTCAGGGCATATGCCTGGGTTGTGGGTTCAGTCCCCGGTTAAGGTACATACAAAATGCAGTTGATTAATGTTTTTCACATCAGTGTTTCTCTCCTCTCTTCCTCCTTTCCTTCTCCTTTCTCTAAAATCAATAAGCATGTCCTTGAGTGAGGATTTTTAAAAAAGAATACACTGGAAGAAATAAACAGGTTAGATGAAGCAGAGGATCAAATCAGCAATTTGGAAGTCAAGGTAGTAGAACAAGTTAAAGCACATTTCATTTGCTCATTTTGTGTTTTTTAATTTATTTTTCCCATTTGTTCATTTTATAAATATTCAATTTACACACAAGTTATTAAAGAAAAACTAAGCATATCTTTACCAGTACATTTTCTCTGTAATGAACAGTGAAAAAGAATGTACATATAATCTTTTATTTTGGTGTGTATTTATTTTTCTTACTCAAAAGTTACATATTGGCTTTTTTCACTTAACACAGATGTAAAATAGCAATTGAAATATATTATGTATGACTATAAAGAGCTTTTACCAGGATTGAAAGATTGGTTTAAAACTGTAGAAAACCTATTGATATAATTCACAAAATATATAGATTAAAGAAGAAATTATGCTTATCTCAATAGATGCATTTGGTGATATGCAAACCCATAAATGAGTAAAAACTTAGAATGCCCTAAATTTGACAAATGTTACCTGCAAAAAAATACCTGCAGAAAATCTTAATGAAGAGATGTTTAAGCAAACCTATTAGATGTGACTAAGACAAGGATGACCACTATCACCAGGACTACTCAGAAGTTTTCTGCAGGTCTGATTGTACTGGATACAATAAGACAAGAAAGTCAGAAAAACCACACATATAGGACAGGAGGAGACAAACATTTATTTGCTGAAAACATGATTGCAAGAGAATCAACTAACAAATTATGAGAACTGTTAAGAGACTTCAGGAGTGCTTGATAATGAACCTAAAATAAAGTGCATAAAAGATATAAAAATGTTACTAGAGAATATAAAAGACCTAAATATATTACATATTTGTGGATGGAAGCTTTGGTGTAATACCAACATCCGAATCATAGGGATGTCAGAAGGAAAAGAGGAAGTGCAAGAAATCGAAAACTTACTCAAAAAGGTAATGAAAGAGAACTTCCCTGATGTGGAAAAGGAAATCGACATGTAAGTCCAGGAGCACAGGGACTCCCAAACAAGTTGGACTCAAAAGAGAACCACACCAAGACACATCATAATTAAAATGCCAAAGTTTAAAGATAAAGAGAGAATCTTAAAAGCAGAAAGAGAAAGAGGCAGTTACCTACTAAGGAGTTCCCAACAGACTGTCAGCTGATTTCCCAAAAGAAACTGCAGGCAAGAAGGGGCTGGAAAGATGTTTTCAAAGTCATGAAAGGCAAGGACCTATAACCAAGATTACTCTATCCAGCAAAGCCATCATTTAGAATGGAAGAGCAGATAAAGTGCTTCCCAGACAAGGTAGAGCTAAAGGAGTTCATCAAGACCAAGCCCTTATTATATGAAATGTTAAAGGGACTTAAGAAAAAGAGATCAAAACTATGAACATTAAAATGACAACAAACTCTCAAATACCAACAACTGAATCTAAAAAACAAAAACTGAGCAAACAACTAGAATAGGAACAGAATCACAGAAATGGAAACCACATGGAGGGTTACTAGCAGGGAGGGGGAGAAGGGAGAATGGGGGAAAAGGTACAGGGAATAAGAAGCATAATTGGTAGGTAGAAAATAGGGGGAGGTTAAGAATAACATATGAAAAGGAGACACCAAAGAAC